TAAATTTAAATATAAAAGGAAAAGGCCCATGGATAAGAATACCCCCTTTTAAAGTCTTGGGATACTTAGGGTTAACTATCTTTAAATTTAACTAGTATGCATTAGCTTAATTTAGATTTCTTGGGAGATACATGTTTTTTCACACATTTTTTCATGTTTTTTTTCACTCTCACATTCCCAAAGTATATACCTTTTTATCTCTCTTATGCCACATTTGACACTTGTCTTTGGGAAAATTGATACATTAACTAATACATGCTTTTTATAGATTTTGTGCACTCTTACATTTCTAAGGTATATGCCTTTGTGTCTCCTTTGCTCACATGATTGGCTTGAGAAATGAATTTTGCATTTAAACAGTAGGTACTATTGCATTGCTAACAACATAAAATATTGTGTTTTAGTTACCTATTGTCCTTTCCACAATATCCTCAATGTGGCTGTTTGAATAATTTCTTGAATATTCAAGCACTTCATCCTCACTACAAGTAACAATCACTTTCCAGCCTTAGCAATTGTCTTCTTAGCTTTGTCATATATAAAAAAACTCTTCCTGCTACGCTCCTTGCCAGGTCCATTCCACTAGATCCCATGCTAACTCATGAATCATTTGCTATCTAACCACAAAAGCTTTAACCTTTTATGACTAGCAAGTCCATCCTGGCCATTTTCTTTTCCGCCATTGTTCTCATAGTGTTTCACGGCATCAGCCATTCTTTTTAAGAAAGCACAAGAAGGAAACAATTAAGTAAACCAACTGTTCAAGAAGTTTATGCATTGAATGAAATTTAAGACGACCCTTTCTTACTCCTCACATATCTGAAGGAAACGTAGAGGATTGCAAACAAGGCTGGATGGACAGTTACATTGTACATACTGCCAATGTTTAAAATTGATCTGCATACTTCTTGAATGAATCTTCCCGGTCGGATGGCGTAGGTTTTCAGCAACACCCTACAGCCGATCTGAACCGTCGGATTGAAAAGAGTATCGTACGGCTAGAAACTGTTTAAATTCATATGAGAAGAACACCTGCTAGAACGGTAGCTACTGCCCCAAAAATGGGCACTTGCAATCTAATAGCAGCGCCCTCTTGCAAGAAATCTGGTCTTGGAAATGGGCTGGGATCAAAATCCCTCCTCGCTCTTCTTCCTGGAACTACGGCTTGATCATCCTCGTCTTGATTTCCACGCCCGTGAACTCTGCCTCTTAACGAGCTCTCCAGCACCAATGCCGGATCGAATCTATCCTCTCCTTGGATTGTGACCGCCAGTAGCAAAACTAGGAGGAAGATCGACGCCACCAAATTCGCACGAATCGCCATTCCTTCCCTTCTTTTTGCGATCGAAGCAATGCTATCAAATTGATCCAAGTTACAACCCTTTTTATATATCGCGAGGGGAGATCTAGACCCTGTCAAGAAGGAAAGGTCCTTGGGAGCGCATTTGACCGTGTGTACGCGAAATCTAATTTCACACACCACTGCACTTTCTTGACTAGATCCAGGTTTTGATGTTGGTAGCTCTCGAGGCATGGACAATTCGAGCGGAGCAACAAGCCCACGCTCCAGAATCCAATCCAGTCCAATTGCAGCGCGCTCGATCTAAACCACGAGCTAGAGGCGCGGGCACTAGCGGCAGCGATGCACAGGTAGAAGATTTCTCGCTTTGATTTTTTCTCGCCTGTGATCTTACTACTCTAAAGCATTGCATATGGCTTCTGCCAATGGTCACTTGAGCATTGTCAAGTATCTCATCGAACGAGGAGAAGTAAGTCGCGTAGCGAAGGAGATCTTAGAAAATGTTTTTGATCGCTCGTGTTCACAGAATGTTAATGCTTGCAATGCCGAGAACAATACCCCTCTTCATTGGGCTCCTCTAAATGGCCAGTTCAGGCATGTTTTTCTTCTTGCTACAAAGTGTTCTTCATTTCAATTTCTTTTCTTTTTCCCAGGTTGTGGAGGAGTTTATTGCTTTAGGAACTAGTGCCTCAGCTTTGAACTGGTCTGATCATGAACTTGAAGTTGAAGAAGCTGGTTAGCGTAGTGCTTGAGGCCATGGTGGATATTAGATAAGCTCGTGTCTATTTCCTAGCAATCAATCGCTCCATAGTAAATCAAGCTTTCCCAGATGTTATACTTTCATAGTTTCCTTAAGAATAGAATTTTTTTATAATGTATATTCAAATTATAATTTTACATATTATATTCTCTTCAAACAGAAAACCTAAACATTTGAAATAGATGATTGAATCATGTATTTTTAACATTTTTAAAAAGAATTATATTTTCTTCTTAGTAGAAATTATAAAATTTTGTTTTTTTAATAAGTTAATTGAATTATAATAATAGGGATAATACTACTATATGTTTAAGAACTTATAATAGATGAAAAATACTAGTAAAATTCTAAAAGATGTATATGGCTATTTAAGGATTTAGCATTATAAACATTGTTTATAAAATAGAATAATTAGAAGTATAATTATTCAAAAAATTTAATGTATAGGTTTTAAATATTAATAAAAAATATGATTTAAAATTATTCTAATTTTACAAAAATAATATTGGTGCTAATTTATAATATATTTTTATTTATAATAAATGTTTTCTATTTAATTATTTATAAAATTTATCTCAACAATATTATAAAAAAATGTAAATTATATATTTATAAAAATAGTTTCAAATATTGTTATTTATATTGTGTTGGGCAAAATATTTAGCATGTTTTGTTATGATGTTTGCTTAGCAATCTGTTATAATAATAAAATGATGATTGTAATGATAAAAACAATAATTATGTCAAAGTATTTTGGGCAATAATGTTATAATTGAGACACAACCCTAAATAAATAAATTGAAGTTATGGCACACATTTATATTCTATACTACTTTTAATAATTTATAAGGTTTATTTAAAACATTTATCTCAACCAACTTGAATATTTATTTTATATATATAAATTACTATATAAAATAAGTAAAATCTGATAGCTTATCTAGTTAAGTAATTAAATAATATTTGATATAAAGCAAATAATTTTAACAAATAATGCTAAATTAAATATTTTATAAAACATAATATTTTATTTCCCGTATATAATTCCTATAAAATATTATCAGAAAATATTTTACTGAATTACAATCATTTTGAATTGTAAAGATGGTTGACATACTATAAAAATGTTTATTAATACAATAGTTTTTAAATTATAATTCTATTATCATGATATAAAGTTATATTAATATTATTTATTTTTAATAATAAATATATATGTAGTAATATACCTAAGCACATTTAGCTATATAAAAAAATGGATACAGTCTCAGTCATTTTATCTATATGTTATACTGCTATAATCACATATTTACCTTATAGTAATATTCATATAGAGAGAGAGAGAGAGAGAGAGAGAGAGAGAGAGAGAGAGAGAGAGAGAGAGAGGGGTGTATTATGATGCAAGTTATAATGCCATTGTTATCCCATTTTGTACATGTCTCATGTGTTCAACAAACTCCAACTCTAATTAATGTTAGAATACTCATTAAATATTGATTTGAAAACTTTGCATTTGGCAATCTCAAAGGTAAACTTAACTTCTGTTAAGAATATTAAATCATGACCCTAAAAGAATTTATGAGGTGAAACACCAATAAAACTTTTAACATTTTAACATTTTCTATGCTTCTAGTTGGGCACCAAAGGATTTAAATCATGTAATGATAGTATGAGAGGGAAAAATAAAAAACAAAATCACTTTAATTTAGTACCCCTAAGGCTGTGAATTGAAAACATGCAAAATACAAAGTTGACTAAAAGCATTATTAAAAAAACCTTAAATTTAAATGTAAGTAATATATAAATTCTCATGAGATCGCTCTATAATGGATAGCATTAGCAATAACCTTCAGTGCATGGTCATAACCTTCTCCAATCAAGAGCTTGAGCAGTTGGTTCTTAAGATGGAGATTGAGCTCTTATTTTCTTGGACTTCCTGACAATACAAGCTACAACCTGTTAGATAGTGAAGTTGTAATTTTGAGAGTTCTGGGTTCCTCTTTTTTGAAAATGGGCAGAAACGCATTGAGTTGTCAATATAAAATGACATATTGCGGCAAGACTTCCAATGCTGTTCGTAGTATGGTCTCTAGAGGCGGGCAGGACCTGTTCTTTATGCTCCTACGGTATAAATTCTCAAGATTGTCTCTCACCAAGCACCTTGGCGGTGACACCTAGCTGGGGTGGGAGCTGAGAGCTACTGCAAGAATTCAGCTATGCAAGCTCAATGTTTTGTGCATGGCCACTCATCAAAGCCATGATGTGTTTGCTAATGCAAAACACATTAGTATTGCAGATCTGGGCTGTTCTTCGGGGCCGAACACAATTCACGCTGTTGACCTTGTGCAATCGCCAAATGTTGAGATCCATGCATCTAGTCACTAATGACTACAACACCTTGTTCAAGCCCCTGGCAGAGCATAGATGCCAAGGGAAGCCTTATTTCTACGCTTCAGTCCCAGGTTCGTTTTATGGAAGGTTGCTCCCAAATACTACTCTTTTAACATCTCACTACATTGTACATGCTGCCTTTTTTCACTCTGAAGTTAAAATACAAAAAACGTTATGTTTCAGTTACCACAAGATATCACCGGGAAGGACTGTCATGGATAAGCATTCAAGCAAGAAATGTAAACAAGGGGTCTTATCCTTGCTCTTGGCAGGAAGATCTTCTGAGGACCCCATTTTATGGAAGCTTCACTTCCAAGCTGCATGGGAGCGTTTTAAAGAGGTGAGGACTATGATTAACATCAACCTTCCACTGTACTTTCGAAATGTTTCAAAGGCTGTGGAAACCACTCAGTGTTTCAAGGTGCTGCATAAGTTGTGCAAGAAGGACCCGCGGTACCATGAAACATTCGATTTTGGAGCAAGTGACTATGCCAAGAAAATAGTGAGCTACACAAAAGCCATAAGCCAAGCAAACGTGGAGCTACTATGTAAGAAAATGGAGTTCACAACCTCCTTTATTATACTGACCAGGCATGTGTGACTGTTATCCTCAAGCGCTTATGAAATTGTTTCTGTGTGACACTTCAATATACATGGATCTATAAACTTGCTGCATAGTTTAGCAACAGATCTATAAGTACCAGCTGGGAGACTGAAGTTCCTGAATCCGGAACTTTGCTCAGGTTTGCCATAAGTTGAAGCTCGAAACTTAAGTCCCACTTCCATTGTTTATCAGGCACGGTTTGTTCGTTTGCCGACTGCAAGGGCCAGATCAATGTCAACTTTGCAAGAGATGTCCAATGCTGAGACCGAGTGTGTCAAAGCGCCACTATTTTGTTTCACATCAATCAGAAAAGAAGAAGAAGAAAACTTGATGATACCTCGAAATGTAAGTCACACCAGTGCTCCCAATCTTTCCGACTGTGCTTAAAGTAACGTTTCCAGAAGCCTGTTTGATCTTGCAGTAAGATAAGAGTCAAGAAAATCTTGCGAGGCATAATACATACCTCCGTTTGTACTCGGCCGCCCACGATTTCAACAGCTTCTCGTAGTAAACCCACATCAATATCTCCATTTGCTTGTGTACTCACCATATTGTCCAACATTATCCGTGTGACTTTGCCTTTGTCTAAAATGGCAAGAACGCGCCTCACTTCATCTAGCGTTCTCGTCTCCACCTGTTAGATTTTCAAATGAATCAGAGACCAGGCAAACAACTCAAGGACTTGCGAGTCACCTCGACGCCAATATCAAGTCCTTTCTCTTCCAAATACTTCGTCACTGCAAAGATGGCATTCTCTATACCGCCAGCGACTGCTATGTGATTGTCCTTCACCATAACCATATCGTAAAGTCCCATTCGATGGTTCTCTCCTCCTCCAATCAAAACCTGAATTGAACACCCCATTACCGTGGAAAAAATCCATTTTGAATCACTTACGGCCCACTTATCAATCAGACGAAGGCCAGGTGCAGTCTTTCTCGTCTCCAGTATTCTCGCTGGTTTCGCAGCATCAGCCATTTTCTAAGAAAGCACAAGATGGAAACAATTAGGAAAAGCGACTGTTCAAGAAGCTTATTCTTGCCTTTGTTGCAGTGGCGATGCCACTCATGCGTTGCATGAAATTTAAAACGACCCTTTCAGCTGTCAAGATACTCCTCGCATTGCCTGAAGGACCAAAAAGAAAAACGTAAAGGATTACAAACAAGGCTGGCTGGATCAACAGTTTGGACTTACATTGTGATACATACCACATACTTTCCCAAAAACTTGGCCTTTCTCCACGGTGCTCCCATCCTCCACTGCCCAATCAGTCTAGAAAAAAATACTTAAAATAAAAGAGCTTTGATCTGCATACTTTCAGCGAAGGATCGAGTTCTTGAAAAACCATATCCGCCAGAGCAATGCCAGCGATCACACCATTTTCTTTGGCAAGAAATCTAGCCTCCGCTGTCATCTCCGCTGGAATAGTCGCCAAACAGGAGACATCCCCTGACAAAAGAAGCAAAATTTGTGACAAACGCCTTTCCCAGCAATCGTAATTCCACTGACCTCGATCTCCTGCGTCTTCTGAGAGCGCGAGCTGAATCACTTCCCTCAAATTGTAGGTCGGATGCACCGGCGGCGGCACTGCTCCAGCTCCATTGACACTCTTGCTCACTCCCGCCATCGCCTGGCGCCTAAAGAGAGATTTTCAGATGCGCGCCACGGCAGTGATCTCACCTCCACCCGACGCTAGAGCTCACACCGCTGGAATTCGACCTCCCGGGAGAGAAACCCTTCGCAATACGGGGCAAGGCGGGGACTCCATAGCCGCGCAACATAGCAATTATTTAGGGCTAGGGCTTGGGCTAGGGCTTATTGAAGATATCCCACATGCCCTAGCGTGGATTCGCGCCATGGTCATGGTATAAAGCAAATGTATCGTAGATGATCTAATTTAAAAAGGGTCGGTTGGCTAAATATGCCACATGCGCCATTTTGCGTGCGTGCCGTATGGATATCAAGACATATGGCCGACATAATTTTTGGACCACCGTAGAGGGTTTGGCAGCGCTTTGCCAGACCCTACAAATTTAAACCCCAACAAGGCATAAATTTTCAAACTAAGCAAAACCGTTAGTGGGTATATGCCCCGAATCTTGTCAGAATTGCCGCCAAAATATAGGCTTTTAAAAACTCACGGTGGAAAGAGATAGAGGCATTTGATGCTGGGGGGCGTGGGATTCGTAAGCTAGGGCTTTGTGGGGGGAGGTGGAAGAGCCCTACACTGGCGCTGCGAGCTCGGCTATGGCGCCCGATCGATGGAGCGGCCAGTCGCGGTCATTTCAGGTAGTGGCTGCCATGACGACGACTGGAGCGCGCCAGTGCGCAAAGCTGCTCCATCGGTAGTGCTCCTCGCTTTTTTCCCCGCTTTCCTCTCTCGCCACTGTTCTTGGGGAGACCGGCCGATCTGTCGCACACTGTGGCATCATATCTGCGCTGGCGGGCCGACCACTGGATCCAATCGAGGTACTTCGCTTTGGATCTAAGAAATTTCCGCCATGGATTAGGGTTTCTGTGTAGTCGCAGGTTCCCTGTTCGTCGTGAAAGCTCCGTGTTTTTGACCCAGCTCTCCTCTCGCGACTGCAAACCCTAGGCTGGGCCGGGCTGGGCTAGGCTGGAAAAGCGCGTCTGGGCAGTTTTTGGATGAGATTTTTGGGGGGTTTCTGGGCAGATCCGATTGTTTAGGGAGGCAGGAGGATGTCGCAGCTTTCGGCAGAGGAGGCTCATGTCTACTCGCAGAGCCCAGCGCATTACGCAGTCGCCAGATGCGACTATGGCCTCCTCCGATCGGTGCTCTCCCGGCTGCCGCGATTGCCAACCGCGGGAGAGGTTAGCTCCGAGGTGGACTCGCTTCTAGCGGAGCAAAAGGCCGATATAGTTTCGTCGGTGATCGACAACAGGGAAGTTCCTGGGAGGGAGACTCCATTGCATTTGGCGGTGAGGCTCGGGAATGCGAGGGCGGTGGAGATGCTAGCGGCAGCAGGGGCGGACTGTAGTTTGCAGAATGGTCGGGGATGGAGTGCGCTCCAGGAGGCCGTGTGTGCTCGCAAGGAAGCTATTGCGATGGTCATCACCAAGTACTATCAGCCCATGGCGTGGTCGAAGTGGTGTCGGCGGCTGCCACGGATTGTAGCGGAGCTCAACAGGATGAAGGATTTCTACATGGAGCTCACGTTTCATTTCGAGAGCTCGGTCATCCCGTTTATCGGGAGGATTGCTCCGTCGGACACTTACAAGATATGGAAGCGTGGTTCCAACCTGAGAGCGGACATGACACTGGCTGGCTTCGACTCGTTCAAGATCCAGAGGTCGGATCGGAGCTACTTGTTCTTGGGAAAAGAGAATATGGGATCTGGAGAGCTCTTGGTGCTGATGCACAAGAAGAAGGAGGTTGTGAATGCGTTTGAAGATGCCGCGGTACAGCCATCGGACGCTGAGGTGGCTCACGAGGTGGCTGTGATGTCTCGGGCGAATGTCTATCGGCCAGGTTTGGATGTAACTCAAGCGCAGCTGGTTCCGCAGTTGACGTGGAGGAAACACGAGAAGGCCGAGACAGTGGGGAACTGGAAGTGCAAGGTGTATGACATGCAAAACGTGTCCGTTAGTATCAGATCTAGAAAGGTGCTGGGGGCAGTGGAGGAAGACGAAGAAGAGGAAACTTTAGATTATGCCAACTTGCTAACGGAGGAGGAGAAACATCAGCTGGAGATGGTTTTGAGTGGCGATTGCGAGAACTTAGAAGAACAGAAAGAGAACTCGGCTTGTGTCAATGGTCGAGGTGGGAGGCCGAAAGCCGAAAAGTCCAGGCCTATAAGCGGTAAGGAAGAGGACGATTCCAAAAAGTCTAGCGCAAAGGAAGAGGAGAGCGAGTTCAAGAAGGGACTTAGACCCACCCTTTGGGTGACAGATAATTTTCCTCTCAAGATCGAGGAGCTTCTTCCACTGCTTGACATTTTGTCCAGCAAAGTCAAGGCCGTCCGGAGGCTTAGAGAGTTGCTGACTACGAAACTGCCAGCGGGAACTTTTCCTGTCAAGGTTCGATTCTTTTTCTTTTTCTTTTTCCAGTGTAAGCCTCATTGCGTGTCAACAGATGTCCATTCCGGTGGTGCCGACGATTAGAGTCATCGTCACGTTTTCCAAGTTCCAAGAGCGGCACGCGATGCAGAACAACCTGAAACCCGAGCATACTGGATCCTGGTTTTCTTGGATGAAAAGTTCGAATCCTAGTTCCGAGCACGCGGACCCGTTCCTGGTTCCAGGCGATTATACGTGGAAGAAAGGGAAGCAAGTGATCGTCCCATAGAAGAATGGTACGTGTAATGCATATGGTTTGGCTGAAACACTCCTGCGACTGTTTTATAGGTCGTTTTCAGGCACACTACTAATACATATATAAGAAATTGTAAATCAGGTGAGAGATGTTTCGATTCCTTAAGTGAATACACAATTTTTTGGTAGACAAAATGAAAAACTGGCACCATCGACATAAGACTCTTGCCTGGAAGAGCCTAAGTCACCGCAATGCTTTCGTGGATTGCAGAGTTGACGTTACGCTCATCTCAGTTTAATGGCTTCAGTTCGAAAACTAGACCACTAACAGGTATCCTTACTTCATTTTTACTGTTCTCATATCTTTGCTGGTTTGAATGATATACAGGATGATGATGGCGAAGAAAGTGTTGCCGTTCCCTGGAAGTTTTGCTGTACTCGAGTAACGTAAGTAATTAGAGCATCGAGACTATAGATGTAGGTTCCTTTTAAGTAGACCTTTATATATTATCTTTCAGATCTCCGCAGTACTTCCTCGCCAAACTTTTCTGGTTGCGGTTGGAAACACCGAGAAGCAAATGACGGAGCTTCACCCTTTTTCCTCTTCGCCTCGTAAGTGCATTGTCTTTAAGTGAAACTCTTATAACTGCTGGAAATTTTGTCCTCCTAGATCTCTTCCGGAAATTCTCTGCTCTAGCTGACAGGCCAATAAAAAAAGCATGGAACAGAAAAAGAAAGCAAATCCAAGCAACAAGCAGCTCGCTCTCAGATGCCCAGCAACAGACAGAATTTGTCCATTTAAACAGGCACGCACCAAACATCCTGCCCCACGGATTTCGCTCTCATCTTCTCATAATGCGTGTCTCTCTTTTTTTTTCTTCCTTTTCCACTGTAGCCGGACGAACAAAAGGCCCGACTTACATGAGAGTCTTCATGTTCATCGTAAGCGATGCATCACCTGCGCACCCAAGGTATGTATGATCCCCTTTGTTTAATCGTATCTATCCGTTATCTAATCCAGAAAAGCAAATAATTCGACTCGATCTCCTTGGCAGGGGCTTTCTCTATCTGTAAACATCGAGATCGTCTCGAAAGGCTGGCCGGCTGGCCCTTGGTTCATTAAAATTCCAACCTGAAACGCACCAACATCATGATTGCGCGCCTCGGAGCTTATTTTTTTTGTCTAGCCAGCCACCGCCACAGCGAGCCGACGAAATGATCCGATCCATCGCGGTTTGTGCTCTCTCATCTTTTCCCACTGTAAGTGTCACTCACAAACTCAAGAACTTCGATGCTTTCTCTAACACTTCTTTTTCTTGTTTTTGGTATATAGTGAACTTGACAATGTGAATGCCATGGAATCAAATGGTGGTGCCACCATTTTGCTCGGCCATCCATGGTTAATATCCAAGACTCTGATTGACAAAAGATTCTTGGATTGGAATCTCGTGCTCGGGAACAGGGCTTGTACACTCGTCCAACACATTGACCACAGAAAAGCATTGTGTGGGTGTTAAGAAACCGCAACGTTAGAGTCAAGTTCCTCATTTATCAGGAGTGAGTGCTGGAGGAGAAAATTCTAAACAAACCAACGCCAACTCGATCAATCAATATTTTGAGAGGGTGGTAAGAAGCAACCATACTTCTCTAAGGTACTTGGGATCTCATCAAATCTCCTTGTACTTTGTATGGTATGATTTTTTATATATATATATTTTTTTCCTTTTACATCTTTAACTTGGGTTGGAGCTTTGCGTTTGGGTCCCTTGTTTCTGACACGACTCAGCACGGAAACAACTCAAGAACACACTCATGAAAAGCAAGAGAGCATTCGTATACACAAGAAGAGAGACCAGATCTTGCATTGTCCAGCCTGCCTTCTCGACTTAAAAAGAGGGAAGTAAAAATGGAAACTTTGATCCCTGATCGAGTTCAAACACTCTGGAAAAGAAAAGTTGCGAGCTCGCGAAGAACGTGTCCCGGAGCCCTTTTCTCTCCATTGAGCCGGAGCCTTCGCGTTGAGTTGTAATCTGCATGGGAAATAGCGAAATCCTACACATCAAGCTCGGAATCAAAAGTTCCTCCTATAGCTACACAATAAGTAAAGATGAAACAAGCAGGAGAAGAAAAAAAAAAAGAATGGAAGAAAAAAAGGAACCGAGGAGAGGACCTCCGCAAAAAGTTGTAGAGCCTCGAGAAGAAGTCACTGCAACTTTCCTTCTCTCCACCTCGTGTCCATTTACAGCACCACCCCATCGCCAGGAAACTCTGGATCAAATCGGATCACACGTCTGCGACGAGCACAAAGATCCCAACCGCAGCGACAAATCCAACTGAAACAGCCCCCCGCCGCCGACACCAACTCCGTCACCTCCGTCACCGTCACTCCGTTCTCCATCCCTCGCCAAATCTTCCAAGTTCGTAGCCGTGGTACTCTGCTTGTGAGCCGTGGTGGTGGCGGTGGTGGTGGCATTGTCCTCGGCCACTGCCACATGAACGTTCT